ACCCAGGTCTCCTGACAGCCTGAGTGCCCAGCCTCAATTTTTCTTTGCTCTTGGAGGAGCTCACTCATGTATGGAGGTAACTGAATACCAGCTTGGTTTCTTCCACAAAACCGAATTTTTTTTATGCTCTCAGATTGTTATAATAGGATATGAAGACATAAATAAATAAGACACTTTTTTTTTCTTTCAAAGATTTCACTATACTTGCTTTCCATGGTGCTTTAGCAAATGGACCAGTGTTAGCACAAAAAAAAACAGAATGATTGTTAAGGTATGTGCAATGATAGCCATGGTGTTGAAAAATGAAATGTTAAGTGAAACCCCTACTCAGACTGCATTTTGCCGAATTTAAAGAAACACATGCAAGATTGTACTCCAGTTTTGCTATACACAATGCACTATATTAATGTCCTGAGTATAACACTAAATATAATTGATCCATGTAGAGATTTGAATGAAATTGAAAAAAATACAGTTCTTAAATCAGTTCAATAATTTTACAAATATGCACTCATGCATTATGGGTTGTGTGGCTTATGACACATCATTCATTCACTCATTCATTAATTCATTAATCAACATGTATCAGGTTCCTTGTAAGTACCCAGCACAGTGCCATATGCTGAGGTTTCGGGCAAGCAGAGTAGGCTGCCATTACTGAGTTTATAATAAAGTAAATAAATGCCTTCCATCCAGCTCAGGTCAACTTAGAAAGTTGACCATGACCCTGAGGGCACAAAGCAGGGCATTGTGAGGGAAATGAATGGAAGCAGCCTTTTTAGATAGATGGGCAGCAGGGCTAGAAAGAGGCGAATGCAGAGAGAGGAACACTTAGAATCTACTGTAATAGAGCAGATGGAATATCAGGAGACTGGAACAAGTGTAGCGGTTCTCAACCAGGGGTGATTTTATACTTCAGAGGATGCTTGACAAGGTCTACAGACATGTTTTGGTCATTACAACTGGGGAGGAAGGTACTAGTGACATCTAGTGGATAGAGCCCAGGAAGTTGCTAAATGTCCTTCACAACAAATTCTTTTCTGGCCCAAAATGCCAGAAGTTTTGAGGTTGAGAAGCCCAGGCTAGAATCATAGCCGCGGAACTGCAGTGAAATAGAACCAAGAAACATTTTGGAGGTAAAAGAAAATCTGTATGAAAATAGATTGGATCGGGAGAAAAAGTCAGGGAGAAATCAGGGATATCCTGAGCTGGATGGAAGGCAATACCCACATGGAAATGAGAAAATTTGTTAGAGGACTTGGGGTGGGGGCAAGGATATAGCACAGAATCAAGAGTTTGACATGTTGAGCCTGTTAGAAATAGGAATTAATATTGGCAACATGAATCTGGAGTCCAGAGGCAAGTTCTTAGTAGAAGATAAAATTTTGATATCTCAGCTTAAAGGTATTTAACATCTTGGAAACATATGATGTCACCTAAGAAGAAAGTATAAAGAAGTAGCTCCAAAATGAGGATTTTGATCCTAAATCATTACACATTCCTTGGAGGTTCTAAAAGCCACTTAATCTTCTGCTTTCAGTGCCTGGAGTGATGTTATAAGTATACGCAAGTACACTCACCCCATTTTGAAAACACAGTTATAACCTTTAGGTTCCTTAGTTTATTCTAAGCCATTTTTCTTTGTATCTAGTTGTCATCTAAAAATCAGGTAATTTTAAATGGATTAGTATCTAATTAATGTCACCAGCTCTCATAGGAAGCATAATGCTGCATGCCACTGTAGGCTTTATAATTAACCACAGTAATATCAATTTAAGCTTAAGATTTTGGGAATGGGATAAAGAGAGCATGCATTCAATTGGTCATTTATAGTCTTTGAAAGAGCACCATGAAAAATGTGAATCAAGAGTAATTAGCATAGTCATTTTGGGCAAAAAACAACCAGGTGCTTATATATACAACATACAATCGTTCTAAAAAACACAGAACAAATTAACAGCAGCTGATCACTCATGAGTAACTCAACACCATGAGCCTGGGTAAATGAGCAGTGGAGGGAAGCATTTTAACAAGGAAATAAATTTTAGTTTTAAGCTTCATAGAATTTTATAGATGCTACAGAAAAGTAACTTCAGTGTGTCATATATTCTTTAAGAAATTATTTTAGGAAATGCAACCTTTCTAATATCTCTACTAACCTAAAAGAATTGTGTACTCATAGGTCAAAGGTAATGCAGGTAAAAAGTGATAAAATGTCATTAACTAATATTGGATCAATTACTATTACTATACTGTTAACTGAATGATATTGTTGATCTATTTCCCACCGGACAACATATTTTAGTCTCTAACAAATGAAACATAGTTAAACTAAAAATGTGCATATAGATTCATTTAACCCAAAAAGTAATTACCAAAAGGAACTAATATATACTGAGTAAGAAGAGCCTTGGAAAATACATTATATGCAGTAGTTCACGAACCTTCCAATGGTTCTCTTGGTTATTGTTGTTCTCATTGCACAGATGAGGATATCAAGTCTTAGAGAGTGTATCAGTCATTATAGAGTAGGTTTCATTGCAATAACAGATCTTAAAATAGTAATGGATTGAATTAATTTGTCACTGATTTGTCACCAGTTTATTGCTAACTTGAAAACTTTTCAGAGCAACTCCTTTCCAAAAGGTGACTCAGTGACCCAGGCTGCTTCTGTCATGAACTCTAGAACTGTGGTTTTCAGAATTACTCTGATAGGAGAAGAAAGTCCTGAAGGGCCATGGGAGATCTTTCACTGTCTGCCTTTTCACCCCGAAATGAGCATACCACTTCCACTCAAATTCATTGGCTAAAAGCAGTTCACTTGATTACATCCAACTGAAAATTAACAGGCTTTAACATGGCTGGAAGAAGAAAAATGGATATAGGTATGCAACGGCAATCTCTACTAAAGGGAGACGAAGTAACAGCCATGACTACAAATCCAGAATTAGGTAGAGCCAGCATTCAAACTTTGTTCATAAGCTGATTCTAGACTTTGGATTCTCAAGATCTAGCCATGCAGTATTTACTACCTATTGGATCTGGATGCACAAGAAAAAATAGACAACTGAATATGTTTAACACAAATCTTTAGGTTTAAAAATAAATCCTCTAACAAGCTTTATGTTTATTTTCACTTTAAGAAATAGTTTTTAATCACTTATAAACTACCCATTCTTTGAGTTTTGAAGCATCACTCCCTCATCAAGGCCTTCCTGAACTACTAATGAAGTTAAATTCATTCTTCCATTCTTGCCCAAAATATCATTTTTTTTTTGGTCAACTCATCACATTTCTTTAGTATCTGTGAGTTTCATGATGAGAGCAATCATATTCCTGCTGTATCTCCAGGGCTTGGCACAATGCCTCCCACAAAGTAGGCACTCAGATATGCATTGAATAAACCAATGAAGGAATGAGTGGAGCGTCTCACTCTTTTCTGAAGCAGGCTATACCACTGTTTGAACTTTCCAGACTTAGCAATACCCTCCCACCCTCAAAATGCAGTAAAATTTACTCTTCTACAACTTCCATCTGATATTCTATTTTCCTTATTTATTCTCACCAAATGATACTATGACTACTTTCTTTTAACACAAGCGCTCTTCAGATTCCTGAAGATAGCTAGCATGTATCCCTAATGCTTCTTATATTATCAGTCCATACATAATATGCATTCCTAAATATAGATCTTCTTATCTGCGGACATGTTCCTATTTGCCAAGTTCCATCCAGAACTAGACCCACTATTTGAGGTCTGAAATGATTAGCTTCCAGCAGTGTGGTTTAACCTCCCTTGGACAATGAGTGGTACATTTTCCCCACTATAGGGTCTTTAGGAAAAAGTATAGTGTCTAGCACCACATACAAGATACTCCATTAGGTGTTTGTTCAATGAATGAATGAATGAATGAATGAATGAATCTAAAGATACATTAGATTTCACCTGTAAGTCTTTTCTTATTTAAGTGTGTACGTCTGTGGACAAGTTTTTCAGACAGACTTACTCAGTTTAGGTCAGTCTCCAAAATCTATACTTAGAGAAAAAGAAATCTTTATGAATGTTAATACAGAACTAGCAAACATTTATATAGAACATTCCTCACAAGGCTCAAAGGAAATTAAGCCAAAATGATCAAATGCGGATGATTTCCCCAGGGAAGTGTCCTCGTTTTTCTACAGAGAAAAAGTCTCCAAACCTACATTGCTAAAATAGCCTATCTTGCAGCGTTCAAACAATCAAAAGAAATCAAGAAAAGGAGCAGCGGCGCTGGAAGCTGCCCCTTTCCCAGTTCTGCACGTGTGAATGGAAGCAATTTACAAGGATCATCTCTGGATCTCAACAGGCAAGAAGCCACTCTAATGTTAGAACACCGAACACCTCTCATTCCTTTCTCCTCCCCTGTCTCTCTTCATCCTTGTCAGTTAAAAAACAAACAAACAACAACAACAACAAAAAAGAAAAACAGGAGTTCTGCTATTCTCCGAAATACTGGCGTCCGAGAAGGCGATTTTCCATCAAGTGACGGGAAGAGACTTAGCCGGCCATCTCTGAGACCCCCGGACAGGCGCACACGGCCATTACCGACGAGGCCCTCTGCCCCTAACAGCCCGCAGCAGAGGCTGCCTCTGCTCTGACCAGCCGGCAGCATTTCTCGGTCTTGAGTGTGCAACACCCAATCTACTTTCCAAGCAGCACGAAGCAAAGTTGAGGGAAAGGAGAATGTGCGTGCGCGTGTGCGTGTGTGTCTGGATCAGCGGTGTTGGGGCGGGCAGTAAATAAAGGGTGGGGCCAGCGAGGGGAGGAGGAAAGCCGGGCTTGAGAGAAACGAGAGCGTGGCTGCAGCCCAGTGAACCTGCCGGAGCTCCTCCCGCCTGCTCAGAGCCCCTGCACCGGCTCACCCGATACCTCACGCCTTCCCCTGCCCCTCCGTCCCCCTTACCCCACCTGCTCTCGCTGCACCCTCCACCGATACCCCCCCCCCACTTTCGCATCTGACCAGAGGACGGATGAGGGAGACGTTCCCGCAAATTGGGGCAGCAACTTTCCTCGGCGGGTCTCTCGGCGCTGGGAGCAGGAGCGCGCCGGTGCCCAGCGTCCTGCGGCGCACGGAGGCAAAGGAGGAGGGGCGGTGATGGGCTAGCGACGGAAGCCAGGAGCCCCGGGGAGCCCCGCGCCGCTCGCTCTCATTCCCACGCCCTCGATCTCTCTCCGTGGGGAGCGCGCGGGGGGCACACGCCGAGCCTTCCAGGGGCGATGAGGCGGGGCCCCGGCCGGAGCCGGCTGCATCTCGCGGGCGTGCGGCCGCGGCAGGTCACGGCATGAATTAGGCGGCCGGGAAGATGGAGCGCCGAGCACTCCTCGTGCAGCCCGGGCGCTGGACCAGGGGCCCCAGCTGGGCCCTCGTCTATTTCCTCTGCTGCGTCCTCCCGCAGACCGCCCCGCAAGTACTCCGGATCGGTGAGTGAGCCGCGGGAGCGCTCCCAGCTGCCGGCTCGCGGCACTCGCTCGCTCCCCGCGGCCGGCGCGGGCGCAGCGGGTCCGCCAAGGCAGCGCGCGTCGACGCAGGGGCAGCCCCGGGGGTGGCGGAGGTCGGCGCGAGCCCGAGGCTCCGCGAGGGGGGAAGCTGCGTCACTGCTTCCCTCCTGGCGAGTGCTGGGCTGCCCCGCCAGGTACTACGGTTGGCGGAGTTCTCAATCGGGCTTCAGGAACGCGGGTCAGAGTGCAGCGGGCCAGGCTCGCCCGGGCTGGCACCTGCGCTGGGCGCGGGGTCGCGCGCGGCTGCAGCCGGTGGGTTTGTCCAACGCGCAGCACGGGTACCCGGCAACGGGGCTTTGGGTACTCACAGGAATGTCCAGATCTCAAGAGTAAGGGTCCACGGGGCTTTCCCAGAGCCTGCCAGCACCGAACCTCCAAGTTTTCATCCCTGAGTTGTGTTCTGTCACACGGAGTCTGCACAGTCCGGAGGGTCCCGCTGGAGTGGGGCAGAGTCCACATCTGACTCTGGCTGAGGGTTCACCGGGTGGGGAGAATGGTCTGTCAGCGCCGTGAGCAGGCACCTAAGTTCCCCACTGGCTCTCCAGTCTGCCCCGCGGGCCAGCCACTGAGGATGATCCAGTCCCTGGTCAAGGTAACTTCTGGAAGGCTGGGGACTTTCATCTCAAGGAGCGTGAGAAGAGACTGGAAGGCTAAATGTAGGACTCCTGGGGCAGCCCAAAGAGAGCAAAAGGCAAGGAAGAGAGAAAGGGGGTTGGAGGGTTGCTACTGTTTGAATTCATGTACCTAAATGCACAGCCCCAACAAAGTATGGTCTATGGAGGCACTGAGCCTTTTCTGGGCTGTTTTTTTTTTTTTTTTCACTTGAAAAAGCTCTTTGCCTTCTGTAATGTTCTCCCTTCCAAACTAAACCCCATTTCTAGTTTGTTAGCGCAGCTTGATTTCTTTCCCCAACTAGCTGTGCTCCCTAGAGCCACAGAGAGCCACAAGTGAAGTCCAGTGGCCACTCGAGTCTCCCAGCTTCTCCAGTCTCCCATTAATAGGCAGCAAGAGTAAAGTCCTGAGCTTGGAGGGCTCCTCACTCACACCTTTTCCAGGAACTGACAGAATTACAGAGCATTGGCATAGTGATACCCCTGAGCAGCGGAAATTTCTCAGTAACTTTACCAGTTCTGATCTGCAACTCGTGAACCTGCTCTCAAAGATTCAGAACCCAGTTTTTCTCACTGAGCATGCTCATTTTTTAAAAAAATAGAAGTTTACTACTTTGATATGCATTTTCTCTAGGCATGGGGGAATCTACATTTCAAGGGAAGAAAAGATTCTAAATTTAACTTTTACTACAGACCTTCTAGACTATGAATAATGATAATTAATATGCACTTTACTGGATCATTTACAGTGTCTATTAAAAGAGCTCCAAAGTATTCCTCTTATGAAAAAAAACACTGATAACTAAAATATCCTTTACCTTAGATATGTTCTAGCCTTAATATCTTATTTTTTTTGGATGCACTCAACCAAATACCCTCCAGTAACAAAATACCTTAGACAATACAAAATAAGTGATAAATGCATGTTACAAGTTCCAGTGCTTATCAACTTAATTGGTGTTTTGCTTATGTTTTACACATGTTAAAAGAGAAAAATCTAGATATAGTAGAACAGGCTATGCCAGCCAATAGCTCTCCTTCCTGTATAACAAACTTTAGATAGCATTTTCCTCCCCTGTATCCCCCAAATCTGAAGGAATTCTAATAGGGGGGTGGGAAAGAATGTTTTAAGACAAATCCAAGCTCCCAACAATCACAGTCATCTGCTTAAAAGTAGTTTTCAAAGTGAAAACAACCCCACATAATTCATTGACCTTAAAATATATGCTACAAGATAATGATGAGATTTCTTCTTTCTAAATGGAAGCCAAAATGCATAAAGACAAATTGCATGACCTGGCACTGTTTATGTGCAGCACAAACGTCTTACTCCTCTGGCTCTTAGTGACCTGTAGTCGGCATGAGCACCACCTTGTATGTACCTAAGGACAAGCTTACTTTTAAATGGACATTTCAGCACCATGGAAACCAGCTTTAGGGCAGAGGAAACCTACCTCTCCATAGTGAGTTTCTTATGTCAGTCAAGTCCAACACTGAATACAAAATATCAGGATTTAGGGACTGTGTGTGTGTGTGTGTGTGTGTGTGTGTGTGTGTGTGTGTGTGTGTGTGTGTGTGCGCGCGCGTGCGCGCGCGTGTGCACACCTAGGGAAGGAAAGAGAAGAATTAAAATGTATTCCTTTTCATCTCTTATAGTTCCTTTGTCTTTCCAACAAATCACGAGCTACCCAACAGGCCAATAAAAAGGGCCTTGATTATTTATTGACTTGCATATTTTTCCAGTAACTTAAAATATCCTGAAGTAAAGTACAGCCTTAATGTTGGGCACTTTGCACCATGCTTATATAGAAAGGGCACTTGAATGCTTGAATGAATTAATTACTGGTCTACTCTTCTTGCAAGAGTGTCTGCTTAAACTTCAGCTATTGAGGAAAATGAATGAAAGGTTTACAATTTAAGATAAAATACATGCACATTAAATATTAGAGAGGTCATTGAGTATGCACATATTCATGGTTCTTGCATATATTGTGGAAGTCTTCTGTTGAAAAGCTTACAATCTTACACCACAGTTTAGAGACATCAAGGGGGTTCTATAGGATGGGGTTTCCCTAAATATAATGATTACACTCCAGAAGTTTACCAGAAGGCTGCTGGGCATTCGTTAGAGGACTCTGGTATCATTTCTGCCTCTCTATATCCCCAGTGTATGTTAACAGGAAGTTAATATCACACACACACACACACACACACACACACACACCAGGGCTTCACAATCATGCACATCTTCCTCACATGGCCAGCCACTCTATAGCTAATAGTCACAACAGGGTCTAGTAGGTAGCCTGAGTAGACTGTGGCCAATGACCATAGGTGGAAACAAAGCAAAAACAAATCCATGTGTATATTGCAATTTCTGGCAAGTTTATATGAATATCATGGAAAGTTAAATGACAGTATAATTGTCTAAATATTTTTACTTTAAGAGAGATCCAAATGTATTTTATGTTAACTATGAAAGTATAGGTTTAAAATATTTAACCCTAAAAGCCCCCAAAGTTCCAAGTAATGTTCACTACATGTTTGTTTATATGATTGCTTAAGTGTACAAAGCTCATGATTCTATTATTTAATCACTGAATTCTTTCATTATATTAATAGTCATTCTTCACTTGACAAATATTTATTAAGTGCTTACTCCCCAACCACAAGCTTGATACCCTTCTAGATGCAGGACATATTTCAGTGAAAAAAATGGACCAATGTATCTGCTCCTTTGAAAATTACATTCTTGTGGTTTATAGTCCATGTTACCACTGAAGTTTTTATCAGAACTTTAATGCAGATGCGTTTTATTTTTTAATTCCAAATTTTATTCTTGGAGAGTTTTCAGTTAATGTTCTGCCACTAATTTATTTTATTAGTGGCATAGTCCCCATAGGATAGGTTCAGCTCCCACATGCATAGAGGACGGACAGAGTGGCTTCATGCTGTCAAACCTGGACAGAAACTCCTGCCTTTATCCAGGAAGATCTGTTGGACCTCATGTAGATTTCACCCAGAGAGAGCATGTTGATCCTAACATTAACTTGAGAATTGCACTGGGCTCTGAAAAATCTGGGAGAGATGCTATCTGATAGCATGATGAAAAGGAAAGGCCTGGGTAATGTTAATGTATTTCTAAAAATAAGATGATCTTTTGCCTTGCTATTTTATCTGCATAATTCACCTTTTACTTTGATATTGATTTTACAGGCCTAATGTTTATACTATTTAGACCTGAACCATGACTACTTTTTCTATATGGTTTTTAATCTCCAGTTTTCATTGAGAAGACCATGACTTTGGGTGGCTTTGCCTCAGTTCAAGTGCTAGGTAGTAGAAATGTGGGAACTTGAAGCTAAAAGTTTCAAGCTTCTCGTGTTAAATTCTCCTGAATTGTGTATGGACTTGAGTATGCACTTATATAACTGTTTAAGCTGAAATCAAATATAAGAAATGAACTGTTGATCTTAGTCATTCAGGGATAAACCACCTAAATTAAAGCTAATCTAATTTATATTGGAATATATTTTAGGCAACTAGCAGAGAGGAAAGTTGGTATTGTTATGGAACTTTCCAGAATTTCTCTCTAAGAGGGAGTTGAGGAAGGCAGTCCAGTCTGGGGGGCAGTCTTGCTACGGAATGCCTAGCAAACCCACTGTTTCTAACTAGATTGTGCATTCAGTAGAATGCTTTTGAGGGAAGATGGGTGAAGATGACAGTGGAAGTGATGAGTTCCCACAGCTTGTCAATACTTTTTGTTGTTTCACTGATAATTTTCCATATAATTTAGAAAATATCATCTATGTCCTAAAATTTTCCAGAAATATTTTGACTAAAAGAAAGTGTGATGGGGAACTACAGGTAGAAGGGGATTCACATTTCTAACTGCCTGACCTTGAGAAGATTACTGTGTGTGTATGTGTGGTTAGCTATAGAAGAAGAAATAAGAACAGCAAACCCAAGGGCTTGTTGCAAAGATGAAGTGTGACATCATTTGTAAAATGCATGGCATATGGTAGAGTTGATGCAGGCCCCTCCCTCTCTTTCTCCCTGTTAGCAACATGGTGGAAGTTTTGTGCTTTAGAATAATTTATTTGTCTGGTCAAGTAAGTATGTTCTCCCTTAGGGATTCATGAGGTAGGGTTGTATATTAAAAGCTCTTTGTAATTCTTCACAAATAAATTTGTTTCTTTTCTTTAATCCAGTATCTCCTGTATTTTAATTATCAGGTGACTCTTATTTGAATCACAGCTTTTAATGTCCCACCGAACTCATGCTTCTCAACATATTTGAGGAAACACTGAC